TTGGCACATATCAAGTCTGCAAAACATTATGTCATTTTCAAGGTGGAACATATGGATAGCAAACCTTTTGGGGACGAAAGTGTAAAGATCTTCCCCATTCTGTGCAGAAAGCTTTTATTAAAAAGTTTGCAAGTTGTCCTTTCACATCAATGATCTCTGCATATCAAAGCCGAGGTCGTGTTGGTATCGGAAATATCATCCCATATGGGTTTTGCTGTGCATTTTAAAAATATAAAAATATACACATGCTTTTAACAGTGTACAACAGAGCACATTCAGATGATCTATCAAGTGCCTTGTGGGCACAAAGCCTTTGCAATTTAAAAGGAATTCTAAAGATCACCGATTTGAGGCACTACTTGTGTTTTTGGCTGAAGCACCGTTTTTACTGCTGTTATTTCCATACAGAGCAGTGGTCACTGGATCTTGCACTGAGTAGTTTTATATATTTTTACACCTAATGGCTAAAGCAATCCACAACAGAAATGAAGCAGCATCTTGCACTCTCAGGACAAATTTTAACAGCACTGCTAGGATTATTCATATGTCAATGCACAAGCATCTATATGACCACGTGAAATTAGGCTGGTGGCCTTCCTGTCACCAAACAATACCCCAAGGTCCTGAAATGGTTTTTAGCTGTTAAGAACATGCTATGGTCTCATGGCAAATGACAAACACAACTCTTTTCCTTCCTTATATAAAAACCTTTACACAATCGAGGCTCAGATGCACAAGAAATACAGAACTACTCTCCAAAGCTTTTAACGTTGCAAATGCATTTAACGAGTAAGCAGGTTCTGGATCAAGTTTTTTGAGAAGTCAAAAATAAACAGAAAGGCATCATGTGAAGCCCAACCATCAGCCTTCAGCATTAGCAAAAGCAATAAAAAATAATGACTTTGACAAATGCTTCAGGAAAAAAAAATTAAAACCAAGACACAATAAAGACAGCACTGGCATATCTTTCACCACTCTGGCTAAAGTTTTTAGTAGAAGAGTTTGCTGTACAAATGACTACATTTTTTTTACTCATCCAAAAGGACAATAGGCCTAAAATAGGCCACGCTTTGGGGTTTTTCAAACCAACCTACCATTACTGTATCAAATTATGTGAAGAGAAAGTAACAAACCCATCGAGTATATATTTTTGTAACAGTACAAATACTTAGGAAAGATGAAACAACTGCTAAAGACCCTCAAATTTCACCTACCCTCGGGTTCTCACCTGTAAGTCCTTCTTCAGTTTCAGCAAATCCTCATTGTCGGCATTCCCAGATAAGGCAGCCTCGACTTGCTGGAGCTGAGCTTTGTAGCTGGCCAACTGCTTGGCAAGGTCTTCCGACATCTGCAAGGAACACACAAACACACACACACACACAGAAAACCCTCATCAGAACAATATCCGTACTGCTTTTTAGACACGGCGCGTGCGGTGAGCGAGGTGAAAACAACAAACACCGTGAAAAGGTGCTACTAAAATATTAAACAATAAAATAAACGGCTGTTCCTGAGCGACTTCTGATAAAGCCAACGCTCCAACACGTGCGTGTGCGGGGCACACGCGAAGGTTACAGCGGGTGAGCTGCGGGGGCTTACCAAACCTCAACCCCCCGGGCCCTTGGAACACGAATGCGGGTCTCCGGCAAAGCCCCGCGCATGGCCCGTGTCCCCTCGGCTGCCGCACGCCGAGGGCTTCAGCATCGAAACCCTCTGCGGCAGCAGGGACCGGCCCCTCCCGGCCCCTCGCGGGACGGAGCGGCCGCTCGGGGCGGGAGCGGAGCCGGGCCTAGGGAGGCCCCGCGCCGGCGGGCAGGCCCAGGACAGGCGCAGGCCGGGCCCGGCCGGGCCCAGTCTCGCTCAGAGCGGGCAGGGCCGCGCTGGGCGGTGCCGGCGGTCTCAGCCGGGCGGTCTCACCTCGGCGGTGCGAGGGTTCCCCGGGCCGGGGGCGCCGCTCCGGGTGCCGTCGGGCCGTGGCCGCTTCGCTGCGGCTCCTTCCGCCGGGGCCGGGGGGGGGGGGGGGGGCGGGGCCTCGCGCCGGCGCGCGCCGGCGCTCGCGAGAGCGGCCCCGCAGGTCACGTGGGGCCGCCGGCCGCGCCAGAGCGTCACGCGGCGCGCGTAGTCACGCGGTGAGGCGGCCCCGCCCACCACCGCGCGACGGGGGGGGGCCGTGCCTGAGGGGGCGGGGCTGGGAGCGGGGTCGGGATCGGAGGTGGAGCCACAGGGATACTCGGCCCGGCCAGCCCCGTGTGAGGACGGGGCCGTGGCGGCGGCAGCAGTAGTGGCTCCTGGTCCTCCTCAGGCAGATGGCGCCGCTGCGGCTCCGCGAGACGGGGTCAGAGCTGCACTGAGGCGGCTGTGCCCTGGCAGGGCTGACGGCAGCAGCGTCACGGAATCACGGAATCGGGTTGGAAAAGACTTCTGAGGTTATCGAGTCCAGTCTGTGGCCGAATAACACCTTGGCACCAAGTGCCGCGTCCAGTCTTTCCTTAAACACCTCCAGGGACGGTGACTCCACTGCCTCCCTGGGCAGCCCATTCCAATGCCTAATCACCCTTTCTGTGAAGAAATTCCTCGTAATGTCCAACCTAGACCTCCCCTGGCACAGCTTGAAACTGGGGCAAGGCACGGTTCTCTTCAAGTGTCCAAGGCCAGGCTGGTCGGGGCTCTGACCAACCTGGTCTAATGGCAAGTGTGTCTGTCCATGGCAGGGAGTTGGAATGCGAAGATTTTTAAAGTTCCCATCCAAACTGTTCCATGACTCTTTGCTCACAGAGGAACCATGTTAAGTTTTGTTCTGTCTGAGCACATGCTGCTGGAGGGGACCGTGGGTCCCCAAGCCTGCCTGCACCCCATGGGTTCACTTGCTCACATCTTCATTTGTGTCAGTATCAAACACAGCAACATTCTCTGTCTGCTTACACGATAGTTAGAACCATGCAAAGCTTCATACCAAACCGTTTAGGAGAGAGTAAGTCTCGGTATTTGGTCCGACAACAGGAGAGGAAAGGGGGAAGAACAGGGGAGGAAAAGCTCAGTGGCTTCTTCAAGCCTGTCACAGGAAGAGAAGTATATTTCTGGTGGAAATCCAGTAATCGATTTCCCATGTGAGCCCATGAGCCAGAGAAATTAGGCAGGTACCCAGAAAGTGTCTTAGTATTATTAGCAAGAGGATCTGTGTCTCCTGCAAACATCCCATCTCTCATGGTCACAGTGCTGTACAGGAAGGTGACTACACTTGGACTCATTGGGTTTGTTTACATACTAAGGGGGAAATACATCTACTGTGTCCTCAGAGGATATCCTGACCTGGAATAAAACACACTTGTGTATCTTGGTATATGATTTGGTAATTAAAATACAGAAATTACTGGACACTGTTCAGAGACTGATTGATGAGATCAAGTGTAACAATGAAAATAGCAACAACATCTTTTTAGTATTTTCATTAGTATATCATAATAACTAGAAATAGGTAAGAAAACATTTTCTGATAAGACTTTGTGGACAGATCAGCGACTGTAGAAATACATACAAATTTATCAATACAGAGCAATCCTAATGACTTTGTGAGCATACCTGTGAGTTGGTAGAGCCAATTTCAACTTCATATTTCAGAACATGAAATCCAGGCTATATCTGCAGGATTGAAGTGACAGAGAGGGACTGAGGAGGCATATAATGTTCAGGTATCTCCAAAGGGAGATACTTACCTGGAGCAAAAGGGAGAACACTTCTGTGGTTGTACCAACAGGAGCATAATGTGATATTTTACTTCAATAAAAGCTTTGGCGATAGTTAATATTGAAACAATATATGTAGGTCTAGAGTCTGGAGTTTTCATGGGGTCTGGAGACTTCTAAAAAGAGCCACCAACAATATTTGATGGTTGGAGAGAATGTTCTTCACTTAATAGCTGAGATGCTCAATCTGTTTAGCTCATAAAGGAAGACCAGGAGCTGATTTGACTTCATCATATATCTAATTGGAAAGAAAAACAGTATGAAGTACTCAGAAAAAATAAAAAATATTGCAACATGCAGTTGACTAAAAGCTGCAGATATAATTGCCTTTAAGACTTTTTTTTTAATGATTATTATTCTCTTGGTTTCTACAGCTCAGGATAGTGTCTCTTTGGACACTGTTTCAACACATGCTGTCATTCAAATTCATGCTGTAATGCAAACTCATGCTGCTATGTATAGGAAGACAAGCCAGATCTTGAAACCACTGATCTTTAACTCTTATAAACTGAAAACTCTCATTAGTTGCATCCTTAAAACTGGATTTATCTTCACCCAAAAGTAGAGGGGTTTTTTTCTAGGTTTGACTAGACAAGTTCTTTTATACTATATTGAGGGAAAACAGTGTAGGCAGGATGACTTCCTGCTATCTTACAGATTAGACTTTCTAAAAAATAAGTTTTACAGTTCATTAAATGGTTGGTGCTTGGAGGGATACATTCATAGTAGCACATTGACACTATTTAAAACAATGCATGTCCAGTTGTTGTCAAGATTTTGTTCTTTCTGTGTTTGTTATGTGATCAAAACAAGTCCAGATATGTTTGTGTCGTATCTGAATGTTTCTAACTGCATCCAGTACTTTCATCTTATCCAGGAGCAGCAGAGTAGCCACCAGAACTGCATCTCTTCAAAAATCATTACTTTTTATGCGATGTTTATACATTGTAATGTGGTATTACAGAGTATTCATTGAATTGAGCCACATTATTTACAGGCTATAAAGTCATAATGCAGTAATATAATTATTAAAAGTGATTGATACCATGTTACTGGAATGTTTATCTCACATTTTGTCATACATGATACAGAGACCTTTGGTGTAGTTTATTGCCAAATGAAGGCATGTCAATTTAAGACAGTAATTCATCACAAATGCTGCAGAATTTGTTTCCCTAATTTAGCAACAGAAAGAAAAGGCAACTGAATTGGCTTTTACCATTAACATTGAGGCTTTCAGCTGTGATTCCTAGTGGGAAGCTGTCCAGTTGACGTCACTGTACTTGCGGAACAACCGGAGGAACTGCTATAACCGGAGAATTTCTGGCCGTGCTGGTGCTGTAGGGTAGCAGATAGCGTGATCTGCGATAGTAGTGAATGGACAGCTGGTTGGGAAGGGGAGGTTTCCAGTAACTGGGATAGCTGGGCAAGCCTTGGCTTTCAGGAAGGGGTTGCCTGGGTTTAAGGTAAACTTCCACAGTTGGATGAGACCCTGGCGTATCCTGCAGCCGCGCTTGGCTTGACCAGGAGGTGGCAGCGGTGCTGCACAAGACATCTGCATCGCCAGCCGTGTTTAACTCCCGACTCGGGACACTGAACTCTACTGTAGGTCCACAATTATGTCTCTTTTTTTACTGTCTGCTGCGTGATTTTTATAGCTAGAGCTGATGGAAACATTTATAGGAAGTTATTCCTGAAGATAGCTGGGACTACACAGTCTTTTGAAACAAGTATGTGCTATGGTGAATAAGTACACTTAAACCCGCAATATTCTGCATTCCTTAATGTCAAATCCTGAAGCAGCTCAGGGTCAGAGATTGGAGTGCTCGGCAGCAACAAACGCTGTGAAGACGTTATTATATCCAAATGGTTTTTGAAGTCCTGCTTTTCAACCTTGTATTTATGGGTTGTTGTGTTCAGCACAGGGACCTAGTAACTAGGAAAAAAATGGGCTTCTGCAAACAAACCAGTCTGTCCTCAGGACAGAAATTGCAATCCAAGTCTAGTCCAGAAAGGAGACACTGGATCTTTCTAGGCATTTCTGGTAGGCTACCTGCCCAGCAGGCACTGCCCTGTCAGTGGGGCAGTATCTCAGGCTTGATAGATATTGGTGTATTAATTTGGATCAAACCATCAAGAAAACAGTACATTAATATTTCAGTTTTTAGGGTTGTTTTCCTGAAAATATGGTGGGGTTTTTTTTTTTGTTCAGTTGTCCTATGCCTCTAAGCAAAATTTGCTTTATTTTAATTAATCTTTCTTTTTTTACCATTTGTCATTATGAGCAGAGCAGTCAACTTTGTCCATAGGTTACATAGATACCCCACTTGTTACACAGATACTGGAATTGTGCAGTATTTCCCATTATGAGGCATTGTGTTACTGTTGTCCCTGCAAAATTTATTTCTATAGGCTGACCTTTTTTTTTTCTGCACTGGCTGTTTGGCTTCAGCTGAATTTAGGAAAGCTTCAGCAGTTTGGCACTTATAAAATCAAGTTATAGAAAGAAATGTTGCTTGGCAAGGCCCTTGATGAAAGTACACAACTATACTGTTGAGAGTTTCAAGTGCCATTTGTTTTAAAGCACGGGCTCAAAACTTCTTAGGGAAGTTCTGCGTGTTTCAAGACTTCACTTTTTGCTGTTCTACTCTCCTTAAGTTGGGCCTAATTGTAAGGTTTTGCAATACCTGCTTACACAGAAGTTTCTTTGAAAGTGAAGTCAGTTAGGTGAGCATGTGTGCGTTCCTGAACATAATTTGACCCTCTACAGCCCTGAAATTCATCACAGATTGTGGTGCTGAGCAAAGAAGGCAACAGCTCAAACATCTTCTGTGTTCCAAGTGACTGCAGGAATTACGACCCATCAGTGAAAAAGGCATGGTGACTAAAACTGAGGAGGAAAAGTGAATCAGGACTGATGAGGAATAAGAGCCAGGGTGGGGCAGCATGGGGATAAGGAGAAAATGTCAGGAGTAGGAAGAATGGACTGAAAGCCTGTGTCCTTTAGGACGTCATACGCTTCAGAAGCGTCTGAGACTCTCGGATTTCCATTCCCCTACAACTGACAGCTTGTGAGAATGCCAGTTTTTGTGAGAAATGACAACCTGCCAGTGTGATCCTTTACTGGCACAAGCAGCAGGTCCGCGTGATGGGTCTTGATCAGACCTACACAACACACAGCCTGTCAGATGGTGTTTTCAGCTTAACGTGAGCCTCTGGTTGGGAGCAATGTTCCAAGTCAAGGTGCGACTTCTTCCTCCAAGGTGTTCTGCCATTGGCATCAGGGAGCGTGTCAGCACTGGGGCCTGGGGACTGCACAGGAAGGCCGCTGGAGATGCTGGTCCTTCTTGGGGTGCCAGGAATTGTGCTGCTGAGACTTCTTATGTCCAGAAGGGATTTGAATGACAGGAAAGCTGAGAAGATGAGGGAAGTTTGGAAAGCAGGGAGCAAGGGCCATTGCAGTGGATGAGGAGCCTGGGAGGATTAGGAGAGGAGCTGAAGCAGCAAGCCAGCAGTGTGGGAAGCAGGGACCTGAGGTTAATATGGGAACAGTGTGGGGGTATTTTGTGTTTGTGTATGGGAAGGAACATGGGAAGTAAGGAAAAAGGCTGTGATGGATAGTGGGGTTGCTGTGGGGCTGAGGAGACCTAAGTCCTGTGTAGTGATAGTAGACAGAAGGAAAAGTATGGTATGAGCATGGAGAGGGAAGCTCAGAATGAGCACATGAAAGGAGAGGGAAGGGGATATTAGGTGCAGGCAGCAGTGATGACTGTGTATGATTTCCCCAGTACAGGGTTTCTGCCAGCCCTGTGCCACACACTGGCTGGGGTTGTGGCAGCTGCTCAGCCACCCACAAGGAGCTGGGTGGCCACTCTATGCTGTGGAGCTGCTCTGCTGTGTCCCACAGCTGCAGCTCAGTGCTGGCAGTCAGTCTTTGGTGGTCCACCCCCACGGGAGCTGCACACTCCTGGTCTAAGCACTGTTCAGAACAGGGGATTTACAGTAACCGAGGATGGGTAGCTAAAAATAGGCTGTTGTTTGTGGGTCCTGTGTCGCTGTTTGCTGAATTTTAAGGGAAAGTGAGCTGAAAGGAGAAGAGAGCTTTGCAAGAGGGGTACTGAATAGCCCTGTAAAGATCTGGGTTTATTTTTCTGTGTAGAAGCATCTACACACTACTACACTAGTGTGAGTGATGTAGATCTGTGTATGGAAAAAAAGAAAGCTCAGAGTGTAAACTCAGAGCTAATTGCCCCATGGGACTTGTAGCTGAAAACTGACCACAAAAAGCTCTGATTCAGCTGGAGGTAATTTTGCAGCCACAGGGGCATGGTTAGATTGCCTTTAGGAACTGTCATACATTCCTAGGTTTTGAAAGTTCAGGGCATCTTGGCTTGAGACAGCTACCACTCCTCACCAGTGTTACTTAGGCCATATGAGTAATTTTTGAGGGTGGTCAAAAATAGGAAGAAAATATTTCAGACAATGTTACTTATTTATAAAATGTGTTTGATTATTTGCTGCCTCTTCTGAATTTAACAACATCAGAGCTTTAATTGGTTACTTGGACCTTAAGTATCTCTGTTTCTTTGCACTCCCACAGAGTAAGGGATAATAAAGCTACCTTATGTTGTAGAAATAAATACTTAAAAAATACTGCCACATAGTACTGATGAAGATCAAATGAAAACCAGTAAGAAAATGAAGAATCCTCTCTCTAAAATAGAATTTTAGGAATCCATGGCAAATAGTAAGTTCTGCTGACATAGAGGGAGATTGTGAACAACTGGCGTCAGAGCAATATCAAGGACTATTGAAGTCTGACTTTGTCATGCCAGTTCCACTTCCATCTTGTGAATATAGAAGTGGCTCACAGTTACCGTTTTTATTTCTGAACTATGATAAGTTTATTTTTGCTAACTACATGTACCTTTTAAAAGGTTAACTATGCTATAGTAGCTGCAGAGTTCATATACATCAGTGTGCTCACTTTACCAATAGAAACAATGTGTATAATTTGCATAAAATGCAAGATATGCACATCACTGTTCCAAACCTTTCCATCCTTCCTTCTACTGACAGACTTCAGACACATTTTCCTGAAGTGAGAGAATTTCTGGAGTATGCATGTAGCAGTGAGAGATGGCATTCACCCCTCCTGTTGCATGAACAGACTTGTTAAACATTCCTTCTACATCATGTTAGTCACTACTTGAGCAGTGAGACTGCTTTCATGTGGTTTTGCATCCTGTTCCTGGCAATCAGAGTGTTTTGTAATCACAGAATGTTGTCTTACGTCCTACAGCTGATCCAATGCTTAGGGAAACTGGAAGTCCTTCTACAGATGTTTCCTCTGAAAATGAAACTGAAATGTCTCTTACAGAAGTTATCTTGCATGTCATTGCAGCCATCTCCAGATGAAGTCAGATTGGATCCTTGGCCAGCAAATGGCACTTTGCAGAGGCTACTAATAAAAGAAGAGTATATCAGATAGGCACTTAAAACTATCTTTATCAATGTTTCTATTTCTATGTCACTTGAAGGAAAGAACTGTGGAGCTATATTTCTTTAAATGCTAAGTTTCATGAAAAAATGTTGAGGTATCCATCTTAACAGGAAACCAGGATAATGGGTTGCCAAGGGCACAGTAAGATATTAGAGAATTGAAGAAATAAAAAGATTTGGATTCTTGATCACACAGAGATATCAACACCATGTTCGGTCTCTGGCATAATTTTTACTCAATGTGTATCACCTAAAAACCTATGGGAGTTTTTTGGTTGGGTTTTGGGTTTTTTTAGTTTTTCTTTTAAATTTTTTAGCAGTTTCGTCTTGCACTGCCTAAGTGCAGTGCTATCAACACCCTTTGCTTACAAAGGAGAAAAGGTGTAATTAATATGTTATGCTGTTTCAGATGCTGGATTTTTTTCCCACAAGGATTTTGATTACCTGTGCTATGCTTCCTATGTAAGAAGGTTTCAGTTCTTCAGTGTAGTTATGGATCCAAAGTTTTAGATCTGCAGGAGCATTTAGCACTTACCTTAGTACTCTGTTGACTCAGGGATAGGTGATGGAGTCTGATTAGGTCCCCTGCAATTATGGGGATGTTTGTCCTCATCTTGGTCAATCCTATTCACGTAATTTGGTGAGAGAGTGAAATAGGCTGTTCAATGGTATTCGAGCTTGTACTGTTACCAGCAGAGAAAGCTTAGAACAAAAAGCAACCAATGTCAGTGGGAACAAGGTGATATTTTTTGTCAGTGACCATTACAATGGGTATTATTTATACTATTGCAGTATCTTTTGAACGAGGCAACAAGCCTGTAATAACACAAATTATTGAGATGCAGGGTGCTTTTCTCTGAGATTTTAGTTTCATGACAAGTCAGTAATGTACTGAACTTTCCCAGGAGAGGTGCAGGCAACACCAAGTGTAGACAAACACCCGTTCTTTCTGTGTTCAGCAAGAGGATTTGATTTAGTGCAGTTTTTAATTGAATGTGGGAAGGTACAATGTTTTGCTGCATACATAAGGGTGGACAGCTACCCAGCTAAAGTGCAGTTGAGAGCTGAGCCTTCAGTTTGAAGGCTTGGTGGGTTTTCATGTTTGCTTTTTGTTTTTAGCATTGGTTGCAAAATTCTCTTGGGATTTGTCAGTCAAGCAAATAAACATGAAAGCCTAAATGTGACTCCAAGCTACTGCAAGGACTGTTGATCAGTGGATTTTTTCTAGACCCAGATGTCTTATGTATCTGACCTTTTTTCCTTTTTCTATCTTTCCTCCCACACCTGATGAAACTATTTAGCTTTGAAATGTTGGAAGGCCACATACCTGAAGTGGCAGTGGGCTTGTCTAAACATCATTTTCCGGTATTAGTTTTATAGATCCAGATATGACTAATAAGGAAGTTTCTTCATTCAGTGTTCATGGATGACCAATTTTTGCTAGTGTGAGGAACAAAGCTGGTATGAGGAGGTCATGTTGCCCAGGGAGCAATTCAAATCTCCGGAGTGAGTCATGACGCTGATGTCTTCAGCCACAGGAAGAAAACATGGTAGCAAACCTCAAACATAGGGTTTTTTCTTCTGCCTTTTTTCTGAGATATTTCCAAGCAGGCTTATTTCACCAACATTCATGATGTTAATATATCCAGATTTAGGGCATTCATCTAGGCTCTCCACCTCCCTTTTATTGTAATAGAATGAAGATGATTACTGCCTGGTAAATCAGAATAGTGAGCATAGGAAATACCCTCTGCATACCTCCAGAGGAGTTTTTGTAGTACATTTCTCCTTTTTTTAGTTACTTTGGGGATTTGAATATACATTGCAGCAGCAGAGAAAATAGAGGGTTTTGTGGAGTTGAATTATGTTTTTCTTCCAATCATTGTGTTTCCTTTGGATGTAGAGAGGAGGGACAACATAGCACAATTACCATATCAAATTATTGCACATCCTAAAATCATATTGATAACATTAATGGGTCTAAAGGCAGTAAATGCATCCCGAGATGTGATGTACATCAGCAGGCCTGTTCTGTATCGGAAAATTCTCTGCAGCAGAGTTGCTATGTACGTGGAGCACTCCACACTCTCCTTCCCAGGATCACTGCTGAAATTGGAAGGGCAGGATATTTGCAGTTGACAAAGCTTTTAGTGGCATCTTCAATTAAGTCAGTAGATCTCTCCTAATTCCATTTCCTGCTGCACTAAAAACTCCCTAACAGTAGACGATGATGCTTTTCAAACCATGAAACCATATTAAAAATTTAATCTGGATAATATGTAAAACCAATAACAGAATCAAAGTTCAATAAAATCTAGACATGGTTTCAGACTAATGTAAAACAAGGCAAAATTAGGCTGTGATGTAATTTTAAGGCTAACCTTGAGGGAGCTCTTGTCAGGAACTGTGGTGCAGAGTGGTTGAAATATTAGATCAGCTATGTTAATCTTTTTTTTTTTTTTTTCAGTGAAACCAATAGGGAAATAATCTTTCTTTTCTTTGGGGCATCTGTATAGACTTGAGCAAGGAAACACTACTGGTTTTGAAACTCTAAATCACGGTGGACTACTGCTGTCATTGTATTATTAATACAAGTGATTTTAGTACAGAGAGTTTGGTAGGTATTGATTCACTTCTTTTTTGGAACTAGTCAAGCTTTCAGATAATGTATTTACATTTACATGGTATTAAAGAACTCTGTATTAAAGATCACTTAAGAAGATTCTACAACAATTTGTTGATTAGAGAAATTGTTGAAAGTGAGGAGGAAAATTTTGCCATAAGTAGATGTCAGTATCCTTAGCACAGAAACAGGAAGAGAGGAAGGAGAATACAGAATAATAGAAGGAAGGAAACTAGGCATAGTTTAACCTACAGGTGAGAGTTAACAGTTCGTATTCTGCTGCAGGAAGAAATGCAAAACTGAGTCAATGTATAGCACATACCACATGGACATGCTAAACTAAATAAAATATATATTCACCTCACGAAACAGAATAGTCTTGGGAAGCTGGTTGTTTTCATTAGACAAATTGACATCTGTATTTGTCTTCAAAGCTGTAAATAACGTAAGCCAGCATAGAGCAGCTTCACCATTATTTGTTTTGGTGTAAAAATGTATTTAACAGTGATTGTAAGTCTGTTTAGGGGCTGTTCCTGTAATAACATAGCTTTTAAGTGCAGTTTTAATAATTTTTACTTTACAATTTTCTCTTTTTCATTAAGATAGACTTTCTTAATAAACCAAAGAGGAAACTTCAAGTGTGTCTGTAGTTCACTTGGCTGGGGACAGGTCTTTGAGATGTAACAAGGTGTAGACATCCCTTGGACAGAATGTGAACAGCCTGTTGAGAAAACAGCGTTGTTCACACAGGTAGCATGAGGATGTGGGCACCAGTGGAAGGGCTCTCCATGTCCAAATAGTGCCATGTTTAACACGTATAAAAGCTGGATGTAAGGTGTGGAAATGCTGGGTGCCTTAAGGTTTCAAAGGCTGGCTATGCTTTTAAGCCATTTAGGAATCCTACGTTTCTTGTTTCACACAGTTGCTCAAGTGAGCAGGTTTGATCTTCCTTTTGCTTCATGTGAGCCTCTCAAAACAGAGGACATGCAGCTAACTCATGCACGCACCCGTGTTCAGACTTTGCTCAAGCTTGGGAGGAAAGGCAACTGAGATAAGATACCTCGTGTTTGTCTGGTGATCCAGTGTGGGCAGTTATTTACAACTCTCATGGAAGAGCCACGCTTTGCTAGATCAGATATTTCAGGCAGAGGATTTTTAGGGATTACATGGAGAGGGTGACTTAAAACCTGTAGGCCTGTGGTATCGATAGGGGTTTTATTCTGCCAGGGATTTGCAGTTTAACCCTGGGCAATGTTATTTACCTCTTGTCCTTGCTCCCCATCTGCAGAGTGGGAATACCACGGGTAGAAGTGAACACGCACAGAAGTACCGCCAGTCGCTCATGCTGCTCTGCTGGAGCATGTGATGAAAGGAGGGTGTTTGGTCGCTCATCTAAGTCACTGAGTTTACCCATTGTCGCTTAAAATAGCGTCAAGCCGGCGTGACGCATGCTGCGCTCTGGTGAGGCCCACATAACATATGTTGGTGCACAGGCTGTGTGAGCCCTCCGTTCCTCCTCCCGAGCGCGGCCGGCACACATCGCCTTCCTTCTTGCGTGCTCTCAGTCTGACCCTCGTGTTCGAGGGTGTGGTGACGTGGAGGAGATGACGGAGCCAAGAGCTTCCGAAGCGCACAACTTCAGAGAGCTTGGGCTCACAGGAGAAATGAATATACATCAGGTATATCTGCAGCTGCAAATGAAACCTTGGGACACTTCCTCAGCCGTGACTAATCCTGCGCGCACTGTGACTCAGCTACTGAAGCATTTATCAGGAGAGCTCCCAGAGCACTCAGTTATAAACCAATAAATAAAAATATCTTGTTTTCTGTAACAAACACAGTCACTGAGTCTAATTGCATTGCCTGTTCCTTACCTCTTCAAAAATAAAGCACCCAAATGTTTACAACCATGTGAGAGATGAAACATCATTTATAGTAAACACACCATTTGTGTTAAAATCATGCTTATCTCTTGATTTCCAAGTTCAAAATCTTAAAACTCTGAAACCTTATGGACTCAAAATTACTTTGTAAAAGCGTGCTTTTGGTCTGCTTTGTGATTTATGAGCTGCATGGTGACGAAAGCAGATGTAATTCACCAGGTTTGCATCATTGGTAAGCTGTGTATATTGGCTGAGGATAGTTAAAAGAGACTGAACTTAAAATAGGTACATTATTCATAGTTTGGTTACCCCACAGTAAAAAACGTGAAACATTCTAGGCTGAATCCAAACTTGACATCTTATTTATTCTAAAACAGGAACCAAGGCATGCAGAGCCTATCACAAATTTCTACAAAGCTGTTAGACTTACTTTGCTTTTCCATATTTCATTGTGTTTTTGTTGGCTTTTTGGCTGAGTCAACACCTTAAATAACAAGTGCAAATTTTATTTCTCCCTCCTTTCAACTCAGGTTGTGGCATTTACTGCAAATTAGTATTTAAGGCTGCATCTTGTACTTTGGGATTGTTTTGTGTCTATAAACTTCAGCAGTCCCAAGATCTTTGTGAACAAAATGTAGCAACCTCTACTCCAGATGGACATACAGGGTATATTGCTATTGGTGCAGGGGCTCTGATCTAAAAGAGGATGTTTTTTTTACAACTCTTAAACTACTAAGATGTGGCATTGTCACCTCTCTTGTCAACTGATGTTGCCAAACAGGTTTTCTATATAACTTTGTATCCCACTTGAGTCCAGAATAATTTCTTCATATTCATTCTTTCATGAGAAACTTTTCTTCTTTAAAAACAATCAATGTCTTCAGAAATTGAGCATTTCCAATAATTTACTTATATGGTTGGTTCACTATCCTATGGCTGGCTTTGAAGAGTCCGTTTAAGAGAACCTTAAAAGTAAATATGCCCCAAATATCCCATTTTCTTGCTATTTGAAATCAGGAATAGACAAACGTCAACTGAGTACAAAGGTTATGTTTGACCTTTGATCGCTGCTCTAAAAACAGTATTTCACATATTCTGTATTTTTCTTGGTTCTTTAGTTATGAGTAGTGTGAGTGGATAGAAACAACTTCATTTTATGCAGGAATAAAATTGGTTGCTGTGAAAATATAATTACTTATAAAAGTCTCGGTTGTGCTTCTCAGTTATGCTTCTCACTTTTGTTGGAGACACTGAATCAAGCTATTGGGCACAGTGAGATTAGCTGATCCTGGAAAACAAAACACCTCAGGGTGTCTGTTCATCATTTAGAATACATAACTTTAGGTCATATGGATGATTCCAGCTGGAATATGCAGTAGGTAAGATTTTACAGTGAGAGCCTTTTGCTAAGTGTGAAATGGGCAAATCCCAGCTTGCATCTCAGTGGGCAGGAATGTGTGTGCAAAAACTGCATCAGTTTTGCCAGATCACGTTATGGACAACAATAGTTCAGGAACCAAAGCACTGGCAGATTGAGTTACACCAAGGCTGTTCCTATGGCATAATAGGTGCATAGGTATAATAAACCTCTCTGCGTTTCCTTAAATCAACCTAATTCTGTATAGCAAAAGTACTCAGTTTCTCAGCTGAGATGATACAGACTTGTTCTTTGTGTCATCAGTTAAGTACCTACATGCTTGGCATGAGAATGCCCTGACAAATTAGAAATATACCTGCCAATGCATTTTAAAGGCATTGAAACATCTCACTGTACAAAGCTGACACACATTCAGTTGATTTAGTGTGTTTCAAAGCCAACAAAATGCAATTGCAGGTTCTTTCTTCTTTTCCTGCCAAGGAACCCAGCTGGGTGGGTTTTGGAAGATGGTACTTTGGCGCCTCGGGGTCCTATCTGGAGTCTGCCAATCATGCAGACACCTTACTTGTCAATTCTTGTATCCCCATCCCTCGACAGCAGTTGCAGTATTCACAGCTCCCCACTTTTCAGCTGTAGTTTGTTACAGGACAGATAAGGTGGCAGATTTAGCTCACAGTAAAATTCCTTTGTATAGTGAAGAGATTAGCAGACACTTGAAAATTAACACTTTTATTAGCATGAGAAAAATAAAAATGCCCTCTTTTTTTCCTTTAGAACATGATGCTATTCTTGCTGTTTGCTTTTTCAATAGTGTATCATACACTAATGACACCTGCCAAATACTAAGCAGGCGTTTGAGTTATTTGTGTTGCCATTCCCAATGGAATAAATGGAAGAGGCTTGGGTGAGAGCATACAAGGCAATCTTCATAGAGCAGCCTGTCGCTTTGCAAAGCAGCTGTGAGTTTAATGGGAATATAAATGAAAAGCGGCTGATAATTAGGCTGCTGGATGTTTTAGCATTATTATTGTTAATTTCTAAAAATCAATTAGGTAATCAAGAGACTTCTATGGAGAAGCATGTATTTTTGGGGTTTAATATCTTAAGCAGGGTTCCAGCTGGGTGACATGATAAGTTACAGCTCCTGGTAGGAACTGGGTATCAGAAGGGCTTTAAGGGTCCCAGAGAGCTGAAAGGAAAGAAACCGTGATGGACAAGATGAATTTTCCCTTTGCTCCCTCCACTCCCCGAATCCAATCATGGAATACTTTTTATAGTGGGCATGAGAGTAGGTATGAAACTTGATTTCTGTGCTGATTCAGTCTTATTTGTGCTTGGAGACAGGCTGTGGCACAGTGCTAGTTTCTCTTGGCCTTCCCCATTTATCCAGGCAGCCTGTGCTGTCTTTCCCTGAGTGCTCTCTAGACTGCAGAACAGCATTCCAGACCATGCTTTTCTTCCCATAACCTCCCTCCAAATCCCTTAGCCTTTTCTAGTGTTCGCAATTAAACCCTAACAAAGAGGTGCCTGGGAAAACAGTTGTGTGTTACAGCTGAGTGCTGTGCCAGGTCAGCAAGTTTGTGCGTGGCTGCCTGCGTCTCCTTCCTGTGCCAGCACAACAGGCGTTCTCTTTTCCTCGACTGTGAAATACAGAGTGGCCGAGTGCGCTTAGCACTGTGGGGGTTCGATTAGGGCAGGGAGATGGCATTTTGCTGCAGCAAAATTGAGGGTGTTTGAGGGCAACAGAAAGGATCTGCCTCTCACGGTGTGCTTGGGAGGAGCAGTATCTCAGTACCTTTGGTGATTTTTTTTTGCTCTTTGGGATGCAGTAATAGCATCTTGGAGTGCTAGATCAGGGAAACTGCTTCTACAGCGTTGCCTGAGATGAAAGACAGTGTGTAAACCCAGACTGATTCTTTGAGATTTGCCCTGCTTCAGCTGTGAATGTGGCTCATGCGCACAGGAATCTCCCTAATGATAGATCTGACTTGGCATGTGAATTTGGCACTGAGTGACAGCTCTATACCAAGCACTTCCCAGATGGTGAGCTCTTGTAAAGCTTTGCTCTTGTTCCTCTCAAACCTAGTTATTAGGATCTTTTGTATCCTCACAGGATCAGGCGTGAGAGCAAGTGCTGACTGACAGCAAGGTGAAGGGCAGAAGAAGCAGGATGGCTTCACAAGTGGAGGAAAAGCAGGCTGATTCTTACTGTCTTTCTCAGATATGTGCCAGTACTTGCCATCAAAAGCAGGATTCTGCTGTGGTTGGTCACAGTTTGTTGTGGCTGAAGCAGAGATGCTGACACGAAGAGAGTCATCCTCGTGAGTGGGAGAGAGGGAGAGAGTGGTGTGGTGGCAGAGTAGATCATGATGAAAAGTGGAAGAAAGAGAAGCTGGGGGAGTCATTAGTGGAGTAACAGAGAGGTTAGGAAAAGAATAAAGGAACACCAAGGCCAAAGATGTGACAAATACCTAAAGCTTGATCGGTCAGCAGCCTGTTATGGTCAGATAGTAGCAGCACATCCATTTGAAGCTGAATATTGCCTCAGTCATTGTTTTCATAACCCTCTTTCTACTCTAATACTGCAAATTATGCAAATATGCCAGGTGCATGCTGGGTGCAGGATACTGCTCAGAATCCCTTATGAGCATGCAAAACTAATAGGCAGCTTTTGTCCAAAGCGCAGCTCTTCTGTGTGACTCAGAGTGCTGGCTGCTGTTGGAAAATCCAGCAGAGTCTGGGACCTGCCAAGCTGTTTTGTTTCTCTGACACGCTACCTAATAGCTAGTGTAATGTAGTGGGTTCTTCACACTCTGGAACTGATATGGAAATGTTCCCAGGTGAATAGCTAATCACCTCCTAGGTCTCATGCTGCCTGCCTTGATGTGGCAGGGAAGAGTGTTAGTGCTGGTGCAAGGATGCTGATCCAGGAGATAACACCTTAGCTCTGCCGCAGATTCTCTTTGGCAAGCCATGACAACTTGTTCAACCAGTTGTACAGTGGGATCATTCTTTACTGCAGTGGTTTTCTCTCCATCGATGGTTAATTATTATCCCTAAGAGCATAACAAAATCATAACACCTCAGATGTTACTTGCTGGTGGCGGCAGATGCTGTTACTGATGTGGTAATTGGCATGACATGTCGGAGTGGTGCTAGGTCACTAAAATTAGAAAGAACTGACAGCTCAGCCTAAAGTACAAACATTGCTATTATGTGACTTGCTTGATTTTAGCTTTTAACTAACAGTTGTCCCATCAGAGTAAGTGAGGATAATGCACAGCAGATGAAGAGCAGTGATTTTAGTGAACCCTCAGCGCAGGTGACTCATGTGTTGTTTTATTTGCTTTTTTCTCAGTTTAATTTATTGTAGAAGACCAGCTGCTATCCGAAAACATATGCCAGGGAAAGAAACATGAAAGTGCAATGGTACAAAAGTCTTCCTTTTGGATTGTTTCAAAAAGTTTGCCCACAGACAGGAATTCCTGCTGCTTTGGTTTAAAGAGTTGACTTTTCCTCTACCTTCAACTGATTC